ACAATTTAATTAAATAACTTGGGATTCTGGTGCTATGAATCATGTATGTGCTTGCTTTGAGTTTTGGTGAATTATGTGAGCTGCCTCATTCCATAAAAGTGGTCGTGGCTGGGTGTGGGCAAGCATGTCTGTGCGTTCATGTTTGTGTGTGGGGGGCATTAAACTACACACAAACAGAGGCAACATAAAAGGCTGGAATGAGGTAACCTAAATAATTTAAGACTGGGTACGGGTTACCTCCAGGGAGTGGGAGCTAGAGGGGCTTCTAGTTTTAACTCCATACATTTTTGTATTGTGTGAAGTGCCATTTGTGTAATTTTTTTTAAAGGCGTGACATCCTAGTTGTGGTTTACCATGAAAGGACAGTCTCCCTACTTAATACTGTCCTTTCATCCCTCTAGTGGTGAATTTCATGATTCTAAAAACTGTCAATTCTGAGACTCTTTCTTTTTCTTTTTTTTTTGAGTTGGAGTCTCACTTGGTCACCCAGACTGGAGTGCAGTGGCCGCTCCCGGCCACCGCAGCCTCGACCTGCTGGGCTCTGGCGATCCTTCTGCCTCAGTCTTCCAAGTAGCTGCAATTACAGGCACGCGCTACCACACCCGGCTAATTTTTTGATTTATTGTAGAGATGAGGTCTTGCCAAGTTGCCCAGGTGGGGCTCGAACCCGTGGGCTCAAGCAATCCACTCACCTCAGCCTCCCAAAGCGCGGGATTACAGGCTGAGCCACCGAGCCTGGCTCTTTCTTTTTCATATGCTCTCTACTGCAGTAATTAGAGATTCTTTTAATCTTTGCAATTCTGGAGCCTCAAAGCTCAAGTAACAAATCCTGCAATTTTTGTTCCAGTACTGGTCTCTTAGCTGAGTTTTAATTTTTGCTGGCACCATCTCACATTGTCACCTGGCACGGGTTTGTGGTCCACTCAGACCTTGTAACTCACTCCACTGTAGGTTATATCCGTATGTCCTGGGGGTATTAATCAGGGCTCTCCAGACAAACAGAACCAATAGGAGATATAGATATTCTTATTATGAGGAACTGGTGCAATGATTATGGAGGCTGAGAATTCCTACAATCTGCCATCTGTATGCTGGAGTCCTGGAAGGCCAGTGGTACAATTTAGTCTGAGTCTGTGTCTTCCAGGTGCCAATTATTGTGTTCCACAAACCCAGAGGATTCTTCCCAAGTATGGGCTCCACTCTGGCACAACTCCACTTCAAAAATCCCAATGGTTCTCCACTATCAGGAAAAGCAGACATAGTAGCTCTGGATTAAGGACCTTAATTCACAGAGCCAAAATGCCTGCCTATCTCTCAAGTACAGCAATGCGAAGCTCAGCTTCACACTGTAATAGAAGCGTATGTGTTTGCCGAGTGGAATCTTCCACATGTGCCATGTTCTATTTGGCATAACTTTCCCCCATCCCTATCTTCCATATCTGGGTTCACGTTCCCTGCCCCCCACCAAGGTTGTCAGCACTCCTAGAATAACTAGCTTTACTTTCTGCTATGTGCCTTTGGCAACGTTATCCTGAATTTCTCATGTTGACATGTAACTATATGCTACTATGGATTTTCTCTTAAATATCATAGATATGCAAGTCTCCTCTCCCTGGATTGATTACACATTCCATTAGGAAAGAAGCCTGTCTTCTGTGTTCCCCTGAGCACCCACTCAGGACTAGATGCACAAGGATTCTGTAAGAAAAGGGGAAAGCTGTAAGCTGACTCCCAGAGAACAGACACCTTCTTGCGGGATGGAGGGAGGAAAGCATGCTCCTAAAAGAAAGGGTGGTGATGCATGTGTTATCAGCCACAGGGGATGCATTAAGAAAACAAGAGCAAAGTTGTTTTTTTTTTTAAAAAAGCAGGAAGATGAAAACAACGACATAATTACATATAAGTCAGTCTGGCAAAAAAGAAACTGACTTGGGAAAAAATGAGACCACAGGCTACATCGTGTGAGTAGTATCCATGTCATGGCTGGTTTTTGCTTTTCCATGAAGTTGAGCAGAGAACAAATTTACTAATGCCTTGGGGGGGGGGCGATGTTAAGAGTGAAGACCGGCTCCACCTGGATGAGGAAGTGACACAGGTGCCTGCTAGGAGCCAGTCATTGGGCATGGTGTTCCAACCACATGTATTTTTTTCCAAAAATTTGTGCCACAATTTAAAAGATAGGCTTATTTTCTTAAAATAACTTAGCACTTGGCTGACCGATAGTTTACATTTAAACATTAAGTCATGTAGTAAATGCCTCAAAACTCAATGCTCAAAAGGATTTCCCACTGATGACATTTTTGACTCACCTTTTCATGGGGAGAGACTTCCAGAACTGTTAGCAATTAAGCAGCTGATATGAGAGCGCTTCAGGTCTGTTCTGCCTCAGATTTCAAGACCATTAGGACCACCCTGTCTTTATGGCTCCACTGAACCAAGTGCAGAGACAGCACCTATACCTGTTAGGCCACATGCCTCTTGCATCATAATCAGTGCAAAGGGACATCTCCTGCACCAGGGTCAAGCAGACACACCTCTGCATCATAATCAGGCAGAGACACGCCCCTGCAGCATAATCAGGGCAGACTCACCCCTGGAGGAACAATCAAGCTGTTTCACAGGTGACTAGCCCAGGCAGACATCTCTGCAGCATTATCACAGCAAAGACTCGCCCCTGCAGCACAATCAGGGGGCTGCTTCCCCTGGTGATCTACCATTCACTCCTTTAATTTAACTTGCTAAATACCTGCTTGGGCCACAGCTGCCGCTTTGAAAGCATGTGAAAAAGAATGATGTTGAATTAATAATAAACCCTCTCTACAGACAGCCGTCTTTTCTAATGAGCTCAAGGTGACTTCCATAACCTAAAATACCTTACCAGAAAATACTTCCAGAAAAAAATATAAAGTCAAGGATTATGTTATCATCCACAGCTTAAAAATAGGAACGATGTAGTAAGGGAGCAAAATGAACACCTAGAACAAGACAGGGACCAGTGGCAACTTTCTCTGAATCTAGGCACCAGAGCAGTGACACCATAAGGCCACCTTTGCAGGGGAATTTAGGTTTGGCTCCGATGAAGGAGGAGATGGGAGGAATGCAGAATGGATGGAAGCTAGGTCCCAAAGCTGTCCTTTTAGATCAGAAGACCTGTTTTATTCTTATTTTTGCAACTGGCATATTATTGAGCAAAAACCCTAAGGAAAAACATGTTTCTGGATTAGAAGGTATGAGCACAGCCTTTCTTTCTGATCTATACATTCAGTGCACATGTTTCTTCTGTGGTTTTCTTCCCCTTTACGTAATACTTCTATCATTTGTCTTATTCTACCTAACTCATTTCAAAATATCAAAGCAGCACATCATCTGACTGCTGTCCCTAGTTTGACCCAGCATCTCAGCATGATTTTAAGTTTCTCCTCCAGCATTATCTTGGGCTTTTCTTTTACTCTTCAAGTCTTCCGCATGTTCTGCTCACCGCTCTGTCAAAACAGAGCTAATTATGTACCTTGTGTGTAGATATGATCTCATATTTTCAAAGACAGACTTTTGCTCTCACTGATAAGTACTTACTTGCAACTGTGAGGCTAGTTAAAACAAATACAAAAAATCTTATGGTAAAAAACAAAATTTGTTCAATCAAAAAACAAAAAACTCGTTCCTTTAACATTCTCACCTAGAAGTAAAAAAACGCAGTAGAGAAAGAAAGAGCCATCTAGGTAAGTTCTGTAGGACTGAACTATCTTTGAATAACTAGCTCCTGGCTAGTTGTTCATCTTCTACAATTTTCCATGATTGGTACCTTACTTAATCTGATATCTGGTCACTTGGAGAGCCAAGTGTGTAAGTTTTTAACCACAATTTAAAATAAACATAGTAACTGTATGGATGTGTTTCACTGAGACTTGTCAGGATAACTTCACGTGCAAATGGTGCAGCAAGACACAAGCTGTAGATAACTGAGTTATCATGGTGCTTGTACCCATGCCTGAGATTCACAAACACTACCATTTGCAGCCGATGCAGACAAAATGCTTACAAAGGGTGTGCATTTGCATCTGTGTGCCTGTGTGTATATTTAATCCAAGAACAGCCCATGTGGTTTCTGTGTGACAACAGGCCCTGCCCTTAGTAGGGGCCTGGCAAGAATATTCTCTAGTACCCAGGAATATTCAATCCAAATGTCTGTACATATGTATAAATAGATATAATAACATACATTTCAAAAAGTCATGCTTCATATTAATCAATTTTAAATCCAACATTACTGCTATAACTGCAATTTTTTTTCCTCCCTTAGCACTAGAAATTCTAAAGACAGAGTATTCACCTTATTGTCCTAGAAGAATTTTAAAATATTCTATTTTCAAGCATTTTTTGGTCTGTAATCTAGAACATTATTGACCTTCTCACTTTTAGCAAGAAGCAATCCAGGTCTGACTGTCAGTTAACAAGCCCAAGGGAACAAAGTAGTCTTTCCTTTCAAAAGAAAACTGCATACAAGTAAAGAAAGGGCTGAATGGCATACAAACAGGCTAAAAATGAATTTGGCTTTTTACTTTAAAAAAAAATAAGCTTCTTTGGAGAGATTTAGCTGCTTATCAATTTGTTAAAGTCTGAATAGTTGCTGATATATTAATCCTATATCTGATTTTGAAAAGAAAAAGGCAAAACCATCTATTAAAGTTAAACTTTGAAGCAATTCTGTCATGAGCGTAATCTTTATAGATATTAATATAAACAAAACTCAAATGGTTTTGGACCCCAGAAATCCGTGAAACTAATGCATGTTATTTTAAGAAGCCCTTAAAGAGAAAATTGAATCACAGCATCCCGCAGTGCCAACCAAATTCTCTTGGGAGCACCAAGGAGAGAATCAGTTTTGAGAATTAATAAAAGAAGACAGACTAAGCATGGCCTGTGCTAGACTTTCAAAGTGATTTACACCAACATTGCTAATATTCACGAATATAATCCTGAAAACGGCGAGAAGACTGCACCTGGCATGAGAGCAGCCGTGGGGAACACTTCCTTTAACTTCATCTGGCTTTCTTCCACCAGCTCCTCTTTGGACATCGGGAGCTGCAGGACGTCTATTATAATCTGCGCCGCTTCTAATGCCTTTTTACCCATAACCAGGGACTTTACCTCCCAGGTGTATTTCTTTTCATAGCGATCACATATTTCTTGAAACACCACTGAATACAGGCGTTCAGTATCTGCCAAGACAAAATGAGACAAAGGTACAAAGATCTTTAGAATGCATACTATAACAGTAAATCTGTATCAGATCAGCATAAACACAAACCATGTAGGCTGCATTCCATGAAAAAAGGCTTTCCTGGAGACCTAAGTAAACGATGAAAATGTTTGCAGGTCATTCTCACTAAATGATAATACCCTAGATAGCCTCCTGTCAAGTTTGCAGGAATTATCTTTGGAGCTGTGATCTGGAAAGTTAGAAATCAGGAGTGAAATGAGGTCTGTATTATTGTGTTTGCTATTCACACATATATATCTGTGTCTCCATATATACCTGGGATAGCAAATTCCATCCAATGGCACATGACACAATTACTAGGTATCCCAAGGGCACTAAAGACAGCTTCATCTGGCATTGTCTCATGTGCGGCCAGCTGCTACTAAGGACAATTCCACTGCTCGGCAGGATGACGATCAACCACAGAATGCCTGGCCATGATGCTGCTGTGAAGCTCCCAGGCGAGGACAGGACACTTACATATGGGCTGTATCATGGGATGGTGAACGGTTGCCTGAGAATTCTCTCCCAGCTTGGCATTTGGATAGGGGCACAGCCTCGATGATGTAATGACCCTCCTGGTGCCTAGTTTTTTCCTCCCCCTTACACAAAGTAAACAGGAGTACTGGTAACAATAGTACTAACACCACTAATATATGGTATCTTATGTTACATACACTGTAATAGCACTATCCCATTTACATTCATTTCTATTTATGTGTTCTTTTTCTATATGTATATTTGATGTACACATAGTATCTCTAATACTACTAATGGTGCTACTGATGGTGCTACAATAGTACAACATTCCTATTGTATTGACACACAATACTTCAGAACACATAAGCAACATTCTCAGGACAGCATGGGCCTGGTAGGGTGTGCTTGTTACACACTAGCTGACCTTTCTATACTGTCATTGTATAGACTGTCATTCATGGGCCTAGAAAGATCACTTCACTGAAAAACTAACTATATAACCTGCTAGGAGGCATGATTCACAATGAAGCATGGCACTTAAAAACTGAGGAATGACTGCCAAATACAACAACTTCAAAATGAGGTAAGTCACAGGCAGCTGACTACTTCTTGGTGATAACCTACCTAAGTGCACCAGTGAAGACAGAAAGGCTAGGTCTTGAGGCCTGGGCAGGCCCTCGTCTTTTGTCTGCGGTGGCACTGACAGAGGCCATCCTTGAACCCAAGGAGCTGCAGATGGGGCATGCACCTGTGATCCCAGTTACTTGGGATGCTGAGGTGGGAGAATCACTTGAGCCCAGCAGGTCGCGGCTACAGTGAGCTATGAGGATACCACTGCTCTCCAGCCTGGGCAACAGAGAAAGACCCTGTCTCAATAGTAGTAGTAGTAGTAATAATAATAATAGTAATAATAATATCTGGGAAGCTCAGTAAACACAGGTAAATAAAATGTGGACACAGAAGCCTTGTGAATCCATGAGGCATATAAGTATTCACATCATACACATGTTCATATACATTTACATGCACATACGCGCACATGTTTGTCTATAATTGCCTAGATCCATTTTTAAAGTCTTCAGGGTCCAAACTGTTTATGACTGAAAGAGAGTTCTGGCAGGTTTTAACTCCAAAATGTCTGCTTCTCCACAGATAGGCATCAGGAGGGCCACCTGCACCACAGGACGGGATCTGCTGTGTCTGCACTGCACATGGAAGAAGCCAGGACCATCTCTCCTGAGCCGATGCAATAACAGTGCCACCTGCTCTTTATCTTCTGCATTTCTCCCATGGAAGGTGAAGGGACGCCTGTGTAGACACAAGGCCTGAGCAGTCTACCATATCTCCCACCAGATACAAAATTTCTGAGTGAACCGAAGGTGGAGAGTAGCTCTGTTATAAACAGACATCTTCCACATGGGCCCTGCACCCTCTTTGTTCAGTGGCACCCAAACTGCATCCCATGGCTACACCCGAGGTGTCTGCTGTGGCTCTCACTGCTCTGCACTCAACGGACTGGACGTGGTGATCACTTTGGCTGCCATGGTGTGGACTTTACCTGGTGCATGTTTCCTTCCTGGTCCCTGGATTCACTGCACTTGCCTGGGGAACTCTGGCTTTTTCTCCATGGAACGTAGTTGAGGCAGCCCCTTAAACCTATCCAGTATAGGCACTGGGGACCAGCATGGGCTGGACTGTGTGGACTGGGCTCTTTCCTGGGCTTTTGGAATGGGCCACCACTGTTGCCCTGCACTCTCCACCACTGCCCAATGTGTGCATTGAGTCTCCTCTGCGGCCTTCTTCCCTGCAGTAGGTCCTGGATGCTCAGCCTCTATATGGATGCTTTGGCTTTGAGGATTACCAGCAATAAAAGAGCCCTCCCTTATTCCTTCTCTGCTTTTCATGGCAAAACCACACCTAGCCACGTGTTAGGTACAATTTCATCTTTAGCACTTTGGCTATTTTTCTTCTTTTCTACCACAAGCTGCATTTTATTGAGATGCTGTAAAACGCACAAGACAAATGTCAGAATCTCTACCCTTCTGGATATTTGAGATTGCTAAGGCATGGATCCTTTAACTGGAATAAATGCCCTTCTGGGGGCATGAAAGATAATTGGAATCTAAAAGTCGTCCTGGAGTGGGTTGCAGAAACTGCAGTCTGGATAATAACCTGAGGCATTCAAGGTCTCCCTAAAGGAGTTATACAACAGGGAGAGGGGCTGGCCCTCTCTCCTCCTCTACATCAGAACAGTGGAAAGCCTCCTCTGATGGAGGTTACCCTGTAATGAGCGCTCCTTTCATTGTCTTCTTCCCCAGGAGGGGGACAAAGAACCAGGGCTCTCAGGGTGAGGAGATGGATGGATTACAGTGAGGCGACACATCTTACTTTAACTTGAGGTTTTCTTCGAGTAGTTGAGAGAGGAAGTCTGACGAAAAGAAACTGCATGCACCAAGCAAGTGAGAAACTACTGTTGGGTTTTTAAAGAAAGCAAAGCAGCAAAGGCCAGGGGGATGGTGGAAGCCCCACTACTCGGGACTGCTGCTGAGGTAAGTGTGCAGGAGGAAGGAGGGAGTATGGAAAAAGCCAGAAAAATAGCTGTATCCTCTACAAATGCTTTAAACAGCTTCATTTAAAGTGTAAAATGTCATAGAGCTTTTAATTTAAAAGATACAGAACTGCCGGATTATAAATCTGTAGGAAACTGTGCAGACAGCTACTTTTCTTCACAATTTAGATAAAATCATCCTAAATCCTCCATGGAATAAGGAAGGATCTAAACAAGTAATTAAACCCCTCAGATCAAACGATGACTACACCTGCTGATGACAGCACACTTAAAGGGACAGCATTGTGAAAGGAAAAAAACTAAAATAAAATAAACGAGCATAAAATAGCTGTGCCAAGCTATGAGATGCATAATCTTGCCTGCTTGCTAACGAGCTTTAAGCTTTTCAGATTACTTCAGTGTTATTTTTACCAGGAAACTCAATATTGTTTTTAACACGCTACAGCCCCGTAAACCACGACCTTCCTTAGGTGAGTTAGAAAAACACACTGTGAAAACCTGAACCTCTCTCCTGGCTGGAATCCCTGTGGCATGTGAGAGCAGCTTCAGGGCAGCAGCTGCAGGGTGGGCATTGAGTGAGCAGGGCAGGAGCGGGCAGAGTGGAAGATGGGGCAGGATGCTCAGGGCAGGGGCCAAAGGCTGGTGTTTTCATCCTGAGCAGCAGGCTGGGTCCCCAGGGGACAAATGTGAGGCATTCCAGCTTAAATTAATTAAGCTGTTAAGAAGGAATCGCTGCACCTGGAGGAAAGCTACACCAAGGCATCTAAGTTTCCCTCTAAGGCTGAGGCTGTGTAATTCTAACAAATTTACATCTTTTATCATTGAAAATGCATCTAAATGCTGGCTGAGTCCATCCCTGGGGTCCAGTGGACAATATCAGGCTTTGTTTTACCCAATAAAGTTACAAGAGGCGAGGATTTTCCTCCACCTCTTTCAGGAATCTGCACCCCCTTACCATGCACACAGGCACCTAACTCCAATTTTAAACCCTTGAGTTGCATCACTTAACAGTGAAACATCTGATCAACCCGTCTGTCACTAATGAGCATATATTTTAAGACCTCATTTAGCACTCCACCTCCATTTTCATATAAGACCTAGGGCTTTGGGGAGCTGAGAGATAAGCAGTAAACTCCCAGCTCAGCTGCTTTTTAGCTGCGCGTTTCTTAATGTCTCTGACTTATGGTACCTGTTGGGGAAATGTAAATAGTTGCTAGCCTGCGTGGGGAGGTGGCTGTGAAGACTCTAGGAGGTTCTAGGTGTGGGAGGCAGCAGGCTTCTGAAGCCAAGTGACCTGGGTTTGAACCCCTTATCTGCAACTTACTAGCTGTGCTATCTCCAGAAACTTGCAGCCTTGGATTAAGGATCTGTAAAATGGGGATACTAATCATACTACGTACCCTAAAAGCCTGCTGGGTCTTGGCTTGCTTATCTGTAAAATGGGATACTAATCATTTAATCAGGTTACTCACCTTCTAGGCTGTTGCATCCACTGAATGAAATTATCTGAGCAGCACTCTTAGCACAGCACTTGGCCCAGAGTTATCTCCAAGTATCATGATGTGGAACTGTCAGGAAATGTTTTAGTAACTGTAACTTCAGAGGAAATGACAAGACAAGATGTGCTTTCTTTTTGTATACCAATGTTCCAAGAACAGCAAACAGATGTTTGAGAAATTAAAGTGAATCCTACCAAATATTTTTCTAAAAAAACAAACCCAAACTATGAACTATTTAGAATTCACCAATGCATCATACCTGCCAGGCACATGAAACTAGCTTGATAAACATTTATTAACAGCCCAGCCTGGTTCAGGAGCATAAACTGTTGTCCCTAATTCCATAATCCAAAAACTTCCGGAAATGTTTTCCTTTAGCCGTAAAAGCTGACTTGGGCTGGCAAGAGGAGG